GCCCGACCCTAGGGTAGAAAATAGGGAAAAAGAATAAGGAAAAGAAGAGTTAGGGTTCGTCGCCGATGAAAAAGAAAATGAAGTGGATGGGAGAGGAACGGATGTTGTAACTGGGATTATGGAACCTGGAGATCAAGAAGAAGAAAATATGTGTTCTGTTTTCTCCACAATGGAGGACTTTGAAGGAGAAGGGAAGAATATGGTCGAATACCCAAGGGATGAAATTCCGATATGAAATCATGAACTACTGGTGGTTGAGGAAGAAGCTCTGGCTTTAAATGCTGTTCACGGACCGGAGATAGAAGAATTAATTCAGCTGAGCTTGGGGGATGTCAATGTCTCGGCTCAGGTAGAGGATTACTGCTCACAGTGGGTGATCAACGATGTTAATAAATTTGGCAAGACAATGGATGTTTCACTTGAAGGTATGAAAAATTTATCCTATTTCTTTTTCTCTGAAATTGAAAAAAGAAAGCCACTAAAAAAGAATACCGGACATGCACTTAAAGGGAAGAAGAAAACAAGTCATGGCATCTATAGGGGGTTAAAAAGTCTGGAATCTTCCATAAATTATGGAGGTAGAAAAGAAGCTAGAAAGGCAGCAAGTGGGGCTAGGATAGTTTGTAAATGATAGGAAAGATAGTCTCCCGGAATGTCCGTGGAATTAACTGTAGGGGAAAAAGACTGATTATAAGAGGTTGTTTGAAGAAATAAAAGCCTTCAATTGTATGCTTGCAAGAAACGAAAGTGGCTGACTTCTCAACAGAAATGATCAACAGTCTATGGTGGGATAACAGTAGGGACTGACATGCAATTCCTTCTAATGGGTCAGCTAGAGGGATGGTTATTCTTTGGAGGAAGGATTGAGTGAGCTGCATAGATGTGATTAAAGGTGAATGCACCTTATTGTGTGTTTTCAAAAACGGTGGAGGTAATGTTGAGTGGATGTTTACCGGGGTTTATTGTAGGAGTAATCATGTAGATAAAATGAAATTATGGGAAGAATTAACAGCATGTAGATCCAAATGGGGTGGCAAGTGGGTTATTGGAGGTGATTTTAACATGATCTTGAGAAGGGAGGAAAGAAGTGACAATAATTTCTCAAGGACTGAAGCTGATGAATTTAGAGTTACCATGGAGAATCTGGGAGTTGATGATTTACCGATCTCAAATGGCCAATGGACTTGGTCCAACCAAAATAGCTTATCCAGAATTGACAGATTCTTTATCTCTTCTGACTTTCTGCCAGATTTGACGAATGTTTGCCACAAAATTTTACCCCGTCCCACCTCTGATCATTACTCTATATGTTTGGAGGCTGAGGGAATCCAATGGGGTCCTATTCCTTTTCGACTGGAGAATATTTGACTGAGGAAAGAGGAATTCCGATCACTGGTTGAAGGTTGTTGGAGGAATTGTGGGATCCAGGGGTGCGCCAGCTACAGATTTGCTTGCAAACTCAAAGTCTTGATGAATGCGATTAAGAGCTGGACTAAAGAGGAGAGATTGAAAGAGAAATGCAGATTTGAGACTGTTATGTCCGAGATCAATGCTTTGAATTCTAAAGAGGAGGACTTTGGTCTTGATGAGGATGAAAGAAACAAGTGGGGTATCCTGAAATTACAGCTGGCGTCTATTTTGAAGGATGAGGAATTGTTGTGGAAACAAAAATTTAGGGAGAAGTGGTTGGGGGGGGGGGGGACAAAAACACTAAGTATTTCCATGCTTT